CCACAGTACAGACACACTACACCACGGTACAGACACACTACACCACGGTACAGACACACTACACCACAGTACAGACACACACTACACCACGGTACAGACACACTACACCACAGTACAGACACACTACACCACGGTACAGACACACTACACCACGGTACAGACACACTACACCACGGTACAGACACACACTACACCACAGTACAGACACACTACACCACAGTACAGACACACTACACCACGGTACAGACACACTACACCACGGTACAGACACACTACACCACGGTACAGACACACTACACCACGGTACAGACACACTACACCACGGTACAGACACACTACACCACGGTACAGACACACTACACCACAGTACAGACACACTACACCACAGTACAGACACACTACACCACGGTACAGACACACTCACACCACGGTACAGACACACTACACCACGGTACAGACACACTACACCACGGTACAGACACACTACACCACAGTACAGACACACTACACCACAGTACAGACACATACACCACAGGTACAGACACACTACAGCACAGTACAGACACACTACACCACGGTACAGACACACTACACCACAGTACAGACACACTACACCACGGTACAGACACACTACACCACGGTACAGACACACTACACCACAGTACAGACACTACACCACAGTACAGACACACTACACCACGGTACAGACACACTACACACCACAGTACAGACACTACACCACAGTACAGACACACTACACCACAGTACAGACACACTACACCACGGTACAGACACACCACACACGGTACAGACACACACCACGGTACAGACACACTACACCACGGCAGACACACACACCACGGTACAGACACACACTACACCACGGTACAGACACACTACACCACGGTACAGACACACTACACCACGGTACAGACACACTACACCACGGTACAGACACACTACACCACGGTAAAGACACACTACACTACGTAGACACACTACACCACGGTACAGACACACTACACCACGGTACAGACACACTACACCACGGTACAGACACACTACACCACAGTACAGACACACTACACCACGGTACAGACACACCACACGGTACAGACACACTACAGCACGGTACAGACACACTACACCACGGTACAGACACACTACACACGGTACAGACACACTACACCACGGTACAGACACACTACACCACGGTACAGACACACTACAACGGTACAGACACACTACACCACGGTACAGACACACTACACCACGGTACAGACACACTACACCACGGTACAGACACACTACAGCACGGTACAGACACACTACACCACGGTACAGACACACACACCATGCAGACACACTACACCACGGTACAGACACACCACACCACAGTACAGACACACACCACTACGTAAAGACACACTACAGCACAGTACAGACACACTACACCACGGTACAGACACACTACACCACGGTACAGACAACACACAGCACGGTACAGACACACTACAGCACGGTACAGACACACGGTACAGAAACACTCATTAGGTTACTGATTGATGGTCTTAGTGGTACTGAAATAGGTCTATTGGGACCTATTTTTCCCACTCGGGCGTGAAATAGAGGTAGAGGTGAGGGGTGAGGGGAAGAGGTGAGGGGTGAAGGAGGAAGAGGTGAGGGTGAGGGGAAGAGAGGGGTGAGGGAGGAAGGTGAGAGGTTGATGGGGTGTAGGGTTGGAGATAGTAATGTTTGTAGAAGTTGTAGTGGTGGTAGGTAATAATAGTTGTAGTAGTGGCTGGTGTGGGGCAGACTATAGGTAGCCTTGAGAGGGGAGAGTGTGTGTGTGTGTGTGTGTGTGTGTGTGTGTGTGTGTGTGTGTGTGTGTGTGTGTGTGTGTGTGTGTGTGTGTGTGTGTGTGTGGTGAGAGTGAGTGTGTGTGTGTGTGTGTGTGTGTGTGTGTGTGTGGGGAGAAAAGGAGAGGAGAGAGGAAGATGAAGGAAGGGAGAAGAAGGGAGGGGAGAGAAAAGAAAGGGAAGATGAAGGGAGAGGAATGGAAAATGAAGGGATGGAAGAGATGAAGGGACGGAAGAGATGAAAGAAAGGGAGATGAAATGAGGGAAGAGAAAGTAAGGAGATAAGGGAAGGGAGATGAAGGAGGAGAGAGAAGGAGAAAGCTGGGTAGGTGTGAGAGGAAATATATGACGAGGGGAGAGGAAGACAACAGCTGCTATTTGTACCTCAACCTAGATTGGATTAGACACGGTAGCTGGGTTAAATGGGCCCCCTGTTCTAATAGACCCCTTCCCCTATACAGTCCTATTGGGCCCTTGAATTAACGTAACGTAACCAGTTGGATTAAAGTCATAGAGGGGAGAGCCTTTTAGAACCGGAGTCTAATAGAACTAGGGTGTATATTATTAAGAGTGACTGGGGTCTATTAGGACTGGGCCCAAGACTGGGGTCTATTAGGACTGGGGTCTATTAAAACTGGGGTCTGTTAGGACTGGGGTCTATTAGGGTCTGTTAGGACTGGGGTCTATAGGACTGGGGTCCATTAGGACTGGGGTCTATTAAAACGGTCTGTTAGGACTGGGCCTATGAACTGGGGTCTGTTAGGACTGGGGTCCATTAGGACTGGGGTCTATTAGGACTGGGGTCTATTAGACTATTAGAACTGGGTCTATTAGAACTGGGGTCTGTTAGGACTGGGGTCTATTAGGACTGGGGTCTATTAGGACTGGGGTCTAGTAGGACTGGGGTCTATTAGGACTGGGGTCTATTAGAACTGGGGTCTGTTAGACTGGGGTCTATTAGGACTGGGGTCTGTTAGGACTGGGGTCTATTAGGACTGGGGTCTATTAGAACTGGGATCTGTTAGGACTGGGGTCTATTAGGACTGGGGTCTATTAGAATTGGGGTCTATTAGGACTGAGACTACACACTGTAAGTAAAGATTGGATGAAGAACAGAAGAACAGGCAATTACGAGAACAAATAAAGCAAGGAATTACATGGAGAACAAAGAGAGAGAGAGAGAGAGAGAGAGAGAGAGAGAGAGAGAGAGAGAGAGAGAGAGAGAACAAAATAACAATAACATAATGAAGAACACAAAACAAAAAATAACAGGAAACATAAACAGAACAAAACACACAATAACAGTAAATAACGAACCATGAACAGAGAAAGAACATACAATAACAGATACAAAACCTGAATAACACCCCAAAATAACAGTAAATAACAGGACAGAAACGGAGATTGAATTCATAACAGTAAAACAACGGTACCAACAGTAACACATCAGTAAAACAACAGTAACACAACGGTAACAACAACAGTAAAATAACAATAACACAAACAATAACAACGGTAGCAACAGTAACACAATAGTAACACAAATACTGTTTTTTTTCCCTGTAAGAATCGAACGCGTCATCACAGTGTTTGTAAATGGTATTGTCTTCTGTGTTCCCGTGGCGTCTCCTGTGTGTGTGTGTGTGTGTGTGTGTGTGTGTGTGTGTGTGTGTGTGTGTGTGTTTTTCTCTCTCCCAAGGTTACGTTATGTTTGGTTACGTTAGTTTTCGTTGGTTCGTTAGGTTTGGTTAGGTTAGGTTAGTTGGTTCGTTAGGTTTGGTAGGTGTAAACAGATGTAAATGAAGTAAACAGTAAGATGTGTCTTCAACTGTACCATTATATAACTGTATCATTGTACCGCTAACAAGTGTACCATTTCTTCCTTACAGTTGTACCGTCCCGCCTGGTTGTGGTGGACCAGATGGACCGACCTGTCCCAGCTGGCCTCCTGGGACCTCTCACAGAGGGAGAACCTCTTACTCTCTACTGCGTCGCTACAGGAGGTGAGGGAAGTGAGGTACTTTTTTCCTCTATTGGTGAGGTGAGGGAAGTGAGAGAAGTGAGGAAAGTGAGAGAGATAACAATATCACCCCCCCAAAACATAACCCCAATTGACCTTATGACCCCCCAAAACATGACCCCAGTTGACCTCTTGACATTCATCTACCTCATTCTAATAGGTTGGCCGGTACCGGAAGTCACCTGGTGGAGAGGGTCAACGCTCCTGGCCAATCACAGCCTCATCCTGGGACACAATGGGCCAATCAGCACCTCCTCCTCCTCCTCCTCCTCCTCCTCCCATGCCTCAAGTCCCTCCCACGCCTCTTCCCACGCCCCCTCGATGGTGGGAGCGGGCGTGCGGCAGGTGAGGACGGAGGTGAGCGTCCCAGCCCTCAGTAGGGACTATGTACACGCCAACCTCACCTGCCGCGCCACCAACAACAACATCACTGAACCTCTCTCTACCACTCTGGCTCTCCTGCTGTATTGTGAGTATTGCCCTCTGTCTGTCTGTCTGTCTGTCTGTCTGTCTGTTTGTCTGTCTGTCTCATACTTACATACGCATCCATTAAAACACACACACACACACACACACACACACACACACACGCGTACAACAGTCATATTTCCACAAACATGTTTTTCCAGTGACTATTTCATCATTTTATTTTTCTATTCAAACCAAAAACATTTTACTGATATTACAATAGAGTTTTAGGGCCGATTTTTTTTTTTAGAAATTTACCTGAGTTAGATTATATTTTAATTTGTGGTGTGTGATATATGATGAGATTGGTGGAGAAAATAGAGTGAGTTTGGTTTTGGTGTATGTAATAATAGTAATGATAATAATAATAATAAACGGTTTATTAATAGTGTTGCAGCCGGTGGCTGAAAATTTACAAACTTACATTTGATTTAGACAAAATGATATGCGTTGAATACATTTACAGTGCTGTACAGTACATAAATCAGGAGTTGTTTATTATTTTAACAATAGATGGGATGGTGCTGTTCTTATATCTATCAGTGCAGTCTGTCTGTCTGTATATATATATATATATATATATATATATATATATATATATATATATATATATATATATATATATATATATATATATATTCTATTTATTTATTTATTTTCTCTCTCTTTCCTCCACTACAGTACGTCCCAAGTCCGTCAGCATCCGGTCGCCGCAGTCCCCGCTGGTGGAGGGTCAAGAGGCGAGGCTGGAGTGTGTGGCCGAGGGCGCCTACCCCGCCGCCACCCTCTCCTGGACCCTGACCTCCCCTAACCACGACGTCACCACCGCCCTGGCCTCCACCGTGAGTAAAAGATTCCTATGGGATATAAGGATCTTTTATCGAAACCTAACCTAACACGGGAAAAAGTCATAAGGAAAATAGTCTTGGGAAATATTCAAAGGGGAAAAATCTGGAGAAATTTCACAGGGGGGAAAAAAGTCATTAGGAAAAAAATCATATGAAAATTCTCAATAGTTGATCTTGAGAACTCGTCCCAGCTTTTCCTCTGTGATGTTACTCAAGACAACTTGTGGCTCACCTCCTGTATGATAGTAAGGGGTAACTTGGCCAAACTTTCCTCTAAGTCACATCAGATCAAACCATAAACGTATTTCAAGGGGCAGTTAAACCGGACTTTCTTATTGGCTGTGTTGGGGAGACTCGTAAATATACTTTCATGTGGTAGGAAAAGTTAATAGTGGCATTTGTTGAAGCTATACAAGCCTAAAAAAAGAAAATCAAGGGGTAACTTAACTAGATTTTCTTCATAAGGGTATCTGTCGAACCCCCTATGTATAATTCAAGGGGTAACTTAACTAGATTTTCTTAATAAGGGTATCTGTCGAACCCCCTATGTATAATTCAAGGGGTAACTTAACTAGATTTTCTTAACAAGGGTATCTGTCGAACCCCCTATGTATAATTCAAGGGGTAACTTAACTAAACTGTCTTCATAAGGGTATCTGTCGAACCCCCTATGTATAATTCAAGGGGTAACTTAACTAGATTTTCTTAATAAGGGTATCTGTCGAACCCCCTATGTATAATTCAAGGGGTAACTTAACTAGATTTTCTTAACAAGGGTATCTGTCGAACCCCCTATGTATAATTCAAGGGGTAACTTAACTAAACTGTCTTCATAAGGGTATCTGTCGAACCCCCAAACATACTCTCAAGGTACTGGAGCTAAACTCTCTTCCTCAGTCACGTCACCTCGGGGATCGGACCTCCTCCTTCGTCAAGGTAAAACCTGCCGCAGAGGACCACCTGGCCACCCTCACCTGTACGGCTTTCAATCCCAACATCACTGCTCCTGGCATCACCACCACCACCGTCATACGCGTCGTCTGTGAGTATGTCTGTATGGCTCTAAGTCGTCTGTGAGTATGTCTGTATGGCTCTAAGGTGTCTGTTTGTATGTCTGGGAGGCTCTAAGCTGTGTGTTAGTATCTCTATAAGGCTCTAGATTATCTAATAGTATTTTTACAAGGCTCTAGATTATATTTCTGCTTAGTTTAAGTTATGCTAGGTCAGGTGTAGACTAGGTTAGGTTAGGTTAATTTAGATTTTCTGAGAATCATTATCAAAGAATCTCATCTATTCTAACAAGAAAACATCACACACACACACACACACACACACACACACACACACACACACACACACACACACACACACACACACACACACACACACACACACACTATGGCCTCGTTCCCCTTCCCCAACAAAGTCATATCTGTTGCACCAGTTATGGGAGAATCAATGACAATGAAGGAAGGAAGGAAGAAAGAAGCGAATGAATGAATGAAGGAAGAAAGAAAGAAAGGGAGAGTAGCTTATGTTGATGGTAATTCCGGCCACTTGAGGGGAAACGGCTTAACGGGACCCTGACAAAGACGACTCATAACACACATTAATATTATGAATCAGTTTAAATTAATGAACTGTTTTATATCTACGTATTAGATTAATATCCCTAATTAAATATCTAATCTGAGTCTGAATTAAATATAGTTGCTAGTTAATGTAGTAATGTATGTCTGCTAAGGCGGATATCGCTTCAACCTCATTGGCTGACATTTACCATCATCTCATCTATGATTGGTTGAATCTCGCTTGAGTTTACAACCCTTCCTCCAATAGAGAGAAACCTATTTAATTTAGTTGTTTAGTTGTTCCTTTTAAAATCAAATAAAAACTAAGTTGTTTTTTTATATTACGTCAAAATAAACAAACTGTTACATAATCTCACCTGTTTTTGTATGTTTGTTTAGTTGTTTTTATTTATATTTTTGCTTATACACGAGTCCACGAATGATATCCGCTGCCAATATTTCAGATTGGATTTATTTATTTATTTCTATCTGTTCCTCTCTTAGTCTTCTGTTGCTTCTGATTCTCTCTCTCTCTCTCTTCCTCGTTTATCCCTCTTGTCTGCCCCTTCCCTTCCAGCTCTTATTTCATCCCTTTGTCTGTGTGTCTGTGTGTCTCTTTCTCCCCCTACCTTTCTCTTTTCTTTCTTCTTTCTTCTCCTATTTCACTTCCTCTACCAGCTCCTCCTCCTCCTCCTCCTCCTCCTCCTCCTCCTCCTCCTCCTCCTCCCTCCTCCTCCTCCTCCTCCTCCTCCTCCTCCTCCTCCCCCAGACAGGTCCTTCAATGAAGAGCTTTACCACCAGGGACTCTAGATCCTTTTAGCTTACTATCATTAATCACACTCTCACACACTCTCACACACTCACACACACTCACACTCTATCACTCTCACACACTCTCACACACTCACACACTCTCACACTCTATCACTCTCACACACTCTCACACACTCACACACTCTCACACTCTATCACTCTCACACACTCTCACACCTCTCTCACATACTGTCACTCACACTTCGGCCACACACTCACATGCTCTCACACTCATATATATTGTCTTATTGACCTTACTTAACCTTATCTGTGCCTTGGTGACCTTATCAGTGCCTTGGTGACCCTATCTTTGCCCTGATGACCTAATCTAACCTTTATCTGAGCCCTGGTGACCTTATCTCTGCCCTGATGATTTTATATGTGCCCTGGTGACCTTATCAGTGCCTTGGTGACCCTATCTCTGCCCTGGTGACCTTATCTAACCTTTATCTGAACCCTGGTGACCTTATCTCTGCCCTGATGACCTTATCTCTGTCCTGGTGACCTTATCTAACCTTTATCTGTGCCGTGGATGAGGTCAGTCGCGCCGCGGGTGAGGCTTGAGCTCGGGGCCAACCTGGGCAACGAACCCATCACTGAGGGCAAGGACGTGTACTTCGAGTGTGAGGTCGACGCCAATCCTCCGACCTGGGACGTCATCTGGAGGAGGAACGTGAGTAGGAGGGAGGTAGGGAGAGAAGGAAAGAGGTAGAGAGTGACAGGGAGGGAAGGATATAGGGAGTGGAGAAGGGAAGGAGGGAGAAGGATGGGGGGAGGAGGGAGAGTGAAGGTGTAGGGGAATGGCAGGGAGAGAGAGAGAGAGAGGTGACTGGCAGAGAGGAAGAGTGTGAGATGACATCCTATTCCCCCTTCATGGAGGTCATATGAGTGATAGGGACAGTGAGAAGGAGAGAAGAAGGGAGGGAGGGAGATAATGGAAGAGAGACGAGGGGAGAGAGAGGAAGGGAGGGAGAAATTGAAGGAGAGAGGAAGGGAGGGAATGAAGGGGAGAGTGAAAGGGAGAGAAAGGAAGGGAGAATGTTCGGTGACATTTAATCCTCTTGCCAGGGAGATTGTCTAGCGGATGAAAGTTTGAGAGAGAGGGGAAGAGAGGGAGGGAGAAGAGAGTGATGGAGGAGGAGAGGGAAAGAGAGGGAGGGAGTGAGGGAGGAGATAGATAGGGAGGGAAGTGGCAGAAATAATGGGAGGAAGAAAAAGAACGGAGGGGGAGAAAGAGAAAGTGTGAGAGAGAGAGAGAGGGAGAGAGAGAGGCTGAGAGAGTAGAAGGGAGAGGAGGTAGGGGAAGAGGGGCGATAGATAGATAGATAGATAGATAGATAGCACCACCACATCACTATCACCTCTAATTCACCATCACTAGCCATTCTTCACCACTATCACCACCATTAATAAGCACATTCCCCACCACTGTCACCACCACCACCACTATCATCACCACCACTCATCACCACCACCACTATCACCACCATTAATAACCACAACCTCTATCACCACCAATAACAACCATTATCACCACCAATAACAACCACTATCACCACCAATAACAACCACTATCACCACCACTATCACCACCACTCTCTCACCAACAGGGACAACAAGTCACCAACCAACGTAAGTCCGGTGTATTGGTGTCAGGGATGAACTTGGTGCTACAGATGGTGCGTCGATCCTCAGCCGGTAACTACACCTGTACGGCTGCCAACGCCCTCGGCTCTACCATCAGTAACCCAGTCAACCTCGATGTACGGTGTAAGTGTACTAGTGAGGGTGTAAAGTGTACTAGTGAGGGTGTAAAGTGTACTAGTGAGGGTGTAAAGTGTACTAGTGAGGGTGTAAAGTGTACTAGTGAGGGTGTAAAGTGTACTAGTGAGGGTGTAAAGTGTTCTAGTGAGGGTGTAAAGTGTACTAGTGAGGGTGTAAAGTGTACTAGTGAGGGTGTAAAGTGTACTAGTGAGGGTGTAAAGTGTACTAGTGAGGGTGTAAAGTGTACTAGTGAGGGTGTAAAGTGTACTAGTGAGGGTGTAAAGTGTACTAGTGAGGGTGTAAAGTGTACTAGAATTACCTTAAGTTGTCAATAAGGTATGACGTATTAATGGTGTTATAATCAATAACTCTTTAAAGTGTTTGGTTATTTTGTGCCTCGTCATGGTGACTCAGGTATTTGGAGGTGATATTGTACGTAAGTGTTAATTGGTTACCTCCTGTGATGTCATTGATGAGTTGTGGTTGATTATGAAGGCAATATTTTTCTTTTATTGGCTTCTTCAGGTGGTTTTGGCTTTATTGGCTTCATCCTGTATCCTCCTTCCTCTCATTCCCCTCCTTCCCTCACCCCTCTTCTCTTCCCTCTCCTTCCCAAACCTCTTTCTTCCCATCCTCTCTTCACCTCTGATCTCTCTCTTTTCATCATCCCTCCTCTTCCCTCACCCCTCCCTCTCACCACTCCCCTCACCCCTTCCCTCACCCCTCCCCTCACCCCTCACCACCATCTTCGTTATTAGTTACCTGAAAGACGTCACTTAAGAGGGTCACTACAGGTAATCCGCTCCAGGCTGAAGTATATTGGTCCCTCCTGATGACGAGTATAGAAGTTACCTAGAGATGATATCGCTGAGAGATTTTAGAGATAGGAACGAGAGATAGCGGTCTGATGCGTGTGTGTGTGTACCTCTCTTTCTCTCTCATTTTTTATTTATTTTATATATTTGTCTATATATTTACGTCTATTTCTCTATCTCTTTATCACTCTCTTTCTCTCTCTCTCTCTCCCCCAAGACCTGCCGGTGTGTCTGGAGGGGCCGCAGACGGTGGCGGTGGCGGAGGGGGAGAGCACTCGCCTCACCTGCCGGGTCGACGCCCAGCCCTGCGACCACCTCACCTACACCTGGATCTTCAACAACACCCTGGACACCATCCGAGTCGATCGTCACCGTATTATCCTGGAGCGGGGCCTTAGTATACTCGATTATACACCCAGGTACGTTAATTATACTCCCAGGTAGCTTGATTATACTCCCATGTAGGTGAATTATACTCCCAGGTAGGTGAATTATACTCCCAGGTAGGTGAATTATACTCCCAGGTAGCTTGATTATACTCCCAGGTAGGTGAATTATACTCCCAGGTAGGTGAATTATACTCCCAGGTAGGTGAATTATACTCCCAGGTAGGTGAATTATACTCCCAGGTAGGTGTTATGCTCCCAGGTACCTTAATTATACTCTCTGGTAAGTCAGTTATACACCCAGGTAGGTGAATAATAACCACACACACACGTACATTATACAACACATTCGGAGAATTATACACTTACGTACTTGAATTATACTCGTCGGTATAACACCAGTGTAGTAAAATATGATTATTTTTATATACCAGTTGACCTTTTACCTTAAGACTGTTAACCTTTGTCCTCTAATAACCGGGCTTTTAGTCCTAGGTCACCGCGATACCATGAGACCTTCTGATGTATAATTACATGACGTCTGACCTTGAATCCCCTAGTAACTATGACCTTTCACTCCAGGTCACTGTGAAACTATCGATCACTGTGACCTCTAATTACACTTGACCTTTGACCTATGCTAACCATGATGTGTGTCTCTGTTCACAGGTCACCGAGGGACTACGGAACCTTATCCTGCTGGGCGACCAATGCAGTAGGCACCCAGGCTGACCCCTGCAGGTTCACTGTCATCGAGGCTGGTACGTCATGGAGGTGGGGAGGGGAGGGGAGAAGGTCAGGGCAGGTTAGCAGAGGGATCTAGCGAGGAGAGGAGGTGAGGAGAGAAGGAAGGGCGAGGAGTGGAGGTGGGGAGAGGTGAGGAGAGGGGGAAAGGCCAGGAGAGGGGAGAGAAGGTAGAGGTGTAGACTGACTGTACACACTTTGCATTAGTATAGGATCGTGTGTGCACCAGTCAGTCGTGTTAACTGTGTCACCGTGTGCACCAGGACCCCCGGAGCGTGTGGACAAGTGTGTGTTGGTGAACCTGACGTCTGGCAGCCTGGAGGTGGGGTGCACGCCAGGTAACGACGGAGGGCTGAAGCAGAGGTTCGTGGCGCGGGTGTATGCTGCCCCCACCCACGCCCTCCTGGCCACCCTGGAGGAGGACACCCCCAGGTTCCACGTGGGCGGGCTAACCCCTGGCCAGGACTACCTCATCACCGTCACCGCCGTCAACGCCAAGGGCGCCAGTCTACCCCAACAGATCGACGCCGTCCGTCTCAAGGTCAGGATGTCTGCCTTACGTAATGTGTTTTGGCTTAAAGAAGAGTCCCACCTAACCTAACCTAACCTAACCTAACCTAAGCAAAGCAACGATACTCAACCTAGCTTCACTTAACCAACCACATGAGTATGTTTGACTATGTTTTCCCCAATAGCTTGTGTTAAGTTTATTGGAGACTGTTTTACCTCTGATAATTATTCATCCTCGTTTCCTCTTCCTTTCTTTCAACTTTATCCTCATCTGTTTCCTTCTCCTCTTTCTCTCTCCCACAGGTGGCGGAGAAGCGGATGGTAGAGGTGGGGGGGTCGTCGCCTCCCGTGTCCCCCCTGGTGGGCGTGTTCCTGGGACTAGTGGGCGGCTTTGTGTTGCTTCTGCTGGCTGGCGTACTGCTCACCCGCGCCCGCTCTAACAGGTATGTCTGTCTTCACGCCTCCCACGTCCTCACACACACCTCCCACGTCCTCACACACGCCACCCACGTCCTCACACACGCCACCCACGTCCTCACACACGCCACCCACGTCCTCACACACGCCACCCACGTCCTCACACACGCCACCCACGTCCTCACACACGCCACCCACGTCCTCACACACACACGTCTTCCCCTGTACCCCCTGAAACACACAACATCAATACTACACATTAATAATAATACTAACACTAATGGTTGCTCCTCGTGTTGGAAGATGGCCGACGCTAGAGACACTTGGGCGTGAATTTGTCTAAGGTGTAGAAGCTGTCGTCATCTCAGCAACCAATATGTGTTACCTGTGAATTAACTTTGACTCACCTGTACCAATTTATATCACTCATTAATTCTTTTCACTTTGTAGACCCTTAGATTGATAGATAGTACAGGTATACAGTTCACCATATAAACAAAACAGGTATATTTGTTTTTAAAGTAAATAATAAAGGAAAAATATATCTTTCAGTATATAAATTAAAGTAAAGCTGATTTAATACAAGTGGAGAATTGTTATTTTATTTTTAATAGTTTGGATTCACAGGGAGAGAATATCGGGGGTGTGGAGTTAATATGTTATGACCTATGAAAACTGGACGATGCGTCACCCTGGAATATTTAGTTACTTGTAAATCATAGATACAGAAACTGGGGCTGATTGATGCGCTTTTGTTCTGAAGATCCAATTGATAGTTGCGTGTGTGTGTGTGTGTGTGTGTGTGTGTGTGTGTGTGTGTGTGTGTGTGTGTGTGAATAGAAAATCTTGTCTCTTACACCTACAGACCCGCCCGCACTAAAGCAACTTACTTGGCCAGTCAGTCAGTTCAAGGAGGATTGAAATAATTCTCACAAAACGATTACCTCTCTCTTTCTCTCTCTCTCTCTCTTTCTCACCTCTCTCTCTCTCTCTCTCCCGTAGGTGTTGGGGCCACAGAGGGGGTGAGGGAGGCATGGTGACCTCCAGCAACTCCCCCCAGCCCACCATCACCACCACCAGCACCACCACCTCCGCCCACCACCACCACCACCACCACCATCACCCGTATGACACCGAGGACAGGCCAACCGCACCTGATGTCCTTAGAACTATTAATGGTAATGACTCTAGCTGACACCATCACTAAACATCATTATTGACACCATCATTGACACCACTTTTGGCACGAATATTAACACTATGATTGGCACCAATATTGACACCATTATTTGAGACCATGTTTGGCACCAGTCCTAATAGACCCCAGTCCTAATAGGCTTTACTCCTAATTGGCCTTCATTTAACTTACTCCTGCCTAGCCATTAGAACTGGGAGCCCATTAGTATTGAGGGGGCCCATTTAATGTATCTACCTCCACCCCTTCTACCCCTCCTTCTACCCCACCTCCACCCCTCTCCTCCCCCCCTTCACTCCTTCCCCATCCACCCCCACTCCACCCCTGTCCACCCACCCCACCCCTCTCCTTCCCCTCTACCCCATCCACCCCATCCACCCCATCCACCCCTCGCCTTCCCCACCCCCTCCACCCCCACCTCCCTAACCCCTTGATCGTGGGATAACACTGTCTTGTCCCCCCACAGCTGAGCTCCTTGAGACGCAGCTGTGTCCTGAGATTATACCAGCCCGAGTACCTCCTCCACCTTACTCCAGAGTACAGGTAGGTCCTCCTCCTCCACCTTACACCAGAGTACAGGTAGGTCCTCCTCCTCCACCTTACACCAGAGTACAGGTAGGTCCTCCTCCTCTACCTTACACCAGAGTACAGGTAGGTCCTCCTCCTCCACCTTACACCAGAGTACAGGTAGGTCCTCCTCTACCTTACACCAGAGTACAGGTAAGTCCTCCTCCTCCACCTTACACCAGAGTACAGGTAGGTCCTCCTCCTCTACCTTACACCAGAGTACAGGTAGGTCCTCCTCCTCTACCTTACACCAGAGTACAGGTAAGTCCTCCTCCACCTTTGCTGAGCCTTAGGTATTTTTGTAGCTGTGATGGTTAGCTTTGTGAATGCCTTTCCTGACTAACTGGCTGACTGACTGACTGACTGACTGACTGACTGACTGACTGACTGACTGGTGTTCTTAGAAGCATCAAGTCACTCTTATGTGTACTGTAATACCTCTAAGCTTTGCACAACCCAGCAAGCAATTCTCACTACCGCAGCTTAAGCTTATTTCTTGACCACGCAAGTGCATCGTTTATTTATTTATTTATTTATTGCCACAGAGAAAACTTTTGACGCTATGGAACGAAAATGCATCCAGTGTCGTTCGTATGTCTGTCTGTATTTATGTGCATGTCTGTATGTCTGTCTGCTTATGTGTCTGTGTGTATGTAGGTCATAATGTTGGCTTGATATATCATCTTTTATTAAGTGCAGTGTTTGTATAGGGTAAAAATTCGTCTCTCTCTCTCTCTCTCTCTCTCTCTCTCGGTTATATTGCCTTAACACCTTCATATGACCTCTTAAAATATATTAATACCTACCATTACTCTCCTAGCAACCGGTTCGCTTGTCTGAGCTGCTACGGTTGCTAAGGAGAGAGACATGTGGGCGGAGTTTAGTCATTAGATTAAATTTCAGACATAGACAGTATACCTCTACGTATGTCTTCCAGCCGTGTGTTTAGCCGTGTCCTAATCCCCATGTCTATGAATCCATGGCTTATTTTAGTGATTTTAGGTCAATTGTTTCCCTGTCTTAATATTCCTGAATCCTGCTGAACCCACTCTAAGGAATGGGGCCTATCTCTACTGGTGCCTATTTGACCCATCTCCCCTAGGCCATGTCCAGGATAAAGTTATAAGCCACGTGCCTCACACTGCCGTCGGGAGCATTACAACCATGTCCTAAAGGCCATGTCCCTGCCGTTTCCGTCGCCGTGCATCCCGACGTTATCCAAACGAGTCACAAACCCTGGGCCAAATACTCCCGTCTGGGTCAGAACAACCTCAGTTTTCTCTGATAATGTAGAGGCTTGGAGGGAAATCACCCGACCGCGAGGCTAGATAACCCTATGTCATTATTGTCACACGGGCGGAACTCCTTGCGTGTTATATAACATAGACGACCTTACTGGCACTACCGCGCCCTCCAGTCTTGCCTGGCATCATTTCCCGGCAGAAAGAAGAGGACATATGCAGAACATTTTGCCTGGTTCACAGTGTGATTGGATGCATATTTAATCCCAGAGCAGCAAACGTCCTTTTCCATTAAACAGGAAGACATGTCTTTGACGACCAGGATGAAGGATGGCGGCTGTAAATATATGAATATTCTTTTTTCTTTACTTTTCGCTTTATTATCGTTCTTCCTCAGCCACATCAAAGAGGCGCGCGCGGGAACCTCACCGTCTGTTGGAGTTTACCTGCATCTTTGTGTGTGTGTGTGTGTGTGTGTGTGTGTGTGTGTGTGTGTGTGTGTGTGTGTGTGTGTGTGTGTGTGTGTATTCTTTCTTATTTTGCTCTTCACCATTTTTACTAGTTATTGATCATTTCTCTATAATAATGTAATTAGTGAATATCATAATAATGTTGCTAGATGGCGCCAACACCTGGTCCCGTAGTCAACATGAGCGCCAAGGAGGTGTGTATGACTGTCTCCTCTCAGGGTACAACTTAACTTTATCTTCCCGCCAAGAGACTCATGAAACGTAAAATGTCTCGTAAATGTCGTATCATTGATGAGCGTTGTATAAAACTGCCCGAGAATGACCGTAAAACCAGGCATTAGTTCCCTGGGTATTGAGTTAAAGTCGGCGGTGAGGAGTTGTCCGCCATCTCTGTTGGATGTTTTGATATGATTTTCGTCAACTCAAGTTTTATTTACTAGTTTATCCTATGTTAAATTTAATTGATAAAAAAAATAACTTTGACAATTATACTTTTGAGAGGTAGAATTTAACTTACTAACTTACTATACTTAAAGAATCTAATGTATTGAAAAAGACGTAAAATTGATAGATTAAATAATTATGGTTAATAAAATAACCCCCAAAATAAACCAAGATTAATTTATTTTATATTTATAGGTTTAAGTTTTTATTATATAAATATTTTTTTTTTATTCCGTGAAAGCATTTAAGAAGCGTCTGGGGAAATGTATTAGAGAGGAGAGAAAGAAGCAGAAATCTCAAGTAGCATTTCTTAATTAACCTCGCGACACACCTGCTACCTGGCGCGCACTCTCTCTCTCTCTCTCTCTCTCTCTCTCTCTCTCTCTCTCTCTCTCTCTTATTCGAGTGTAATAGTCTCTGAGAAATAGATATAGAGAAAAATAGAAGAGAGAGAGATGAAAGATGCTAAAAAAGAGAGAAAGAGAAATAAAGAATGGGAAACGCAAAAGAAAGAAAAATATACAAGTATTAAACGAGAATGAGAAGAAAGAGAAAGAGATAAAAGAGAGCGAAGAAGAAAAAATAAACCAAAGAATAAGACAACACTAAAACACCGCTCACTATCATCACCACCATGCCTTCACCACCACCACTATGCCCCCTCTCACCATCATCATTTCATGCTCTTCAATTTTTTTCCATCACCTCGCCAGGCTATATACCATGGTGAGTGCGCTCTTTGAGTCAGTAAGAGAAACAAAACCCCCACGACTAGATCTGGCTATATAATGACGTCACATGCTGGCTATATGTCTCACGCTGGCTATATAATGACGTTACGTTGGCTATATAATGACGTCACATGCTGGGTATATGTCTCACGCTGGCTATATAATGACGTCACGTTGGCTATATAATGACGTCACATGCTGGCTATATGTCTCATGCTGGCTATATAATGACACACACACACACACACGTACGTATAAGCTTAACTAACGGGCTAATGGGTATTGTTTCTATAATACCTAATAACCACATCTGTTTATATATTGACATTTACAAATTTTACGATGTCATTTTTTTTGTGATTAATGTGTGATTTATGGAGGTTTTTTTATTGGTCATTAAACAGTTGAAATAGATGGTAGGTATTTAAAAGGCTTTACCTGATGAATGGTGTTTGTTAGTGTGTTTGTTTTTTGTTGTTGTTTGTATTTCTTTTGGTTTTGTTTTATAAATAGGTAAGACTCATGGGGAAAATAGGTAAGACTCATGGGGAAATAGGTAAGACTCATGGGGAAATAGGTGAGACTCATGGGGAAATAGGTGAGACTCATGGGGAAATAGGTAAGACTCATGGGGAAATAGGTAAGACTCATGGGGAAATAGGTAAGACTCATGGGGAAATAGATGGGAACAATTATAGAAGAAATTGTCAACAGTTTGTAGAGGACAAGAATGAAAAATGTGTGAGAGAAAGAGTGAGACAAGAGATAGGTTAAAAGAAAGGAGAGTGAGAAAACGAATGATAGAAAGTTAGACAATTATCCACCTGACGTAACTTTATCCACCTGACGTAACTTTATCCACCTGACGTAACTTTATCCACCTGACGTAACTTTATCCACCTGACATAACTTTATCCACCTGACGTAACTTTATCCACCTGACGTAACTTTATCCACCTAACATAACTTTATCCACCTGACATAACTTTATCCACCTGACATAACTTTATCCACCTGACGTAGCTTTATCCACCTGACGTAACTTTATCCACTTGACGTAACGTTATCCACCTGACATAACTTTATCCACCTGACGTAGCTTTATCCACCTGACGTAACTTTATCCACCTGACGTAACGTTATCCACCTGACGTAACTTTATCCACCTGCCGTAACGTTATCCACCTGACGTAACTTTATCCACCTGACGTGTTACATACCATGAGCCTGGGTGTAAAGTGCCCACAACTCCCTCAAGAGACGCCATGTTCAGCCAGTACAGAGAATTTATTTTACACACACTTTTTAAAATGTTTTTTGCTGGCACAATGATGCAAGTTTTTTGGGGGGTAATATTGTGGAAGATGACAACAACAACAATAACAAACAAGAAAAATAACAAAAAACAACTACAATAGCAGCAGCAACAACAACAATAAAACAACAACTAAAACAACAACAACAATAATAGCAACAACTACAACAACAACAACAACACTATTACTGGGACTGAAGTTCTTTTGAAATTTATATTATAGAAACAAGTTAAAATTTATTGTACTTGTTTTATTTTTCATTTGGTGTTTATAATATCCTGTTTTCTCTACAATCTTAATGTTTATCTAATGTTTATAGCAGAGTGTTATCTGTCTGTGTGTGGTTGTTCGCTATTGCACGGCTACAGTTTTAAAGATAAGCTGAAATTAAGCTTAAGGGAATAAGCATGCTCCCCAGAAGTGTCACGAGAGTGGAATTGTTTGGAGGGTGACGGGGGAGAGGGGGGTCCACTATTCCCCCTCCCCTCCTTCCCTTCCCCCTCACCTACCTCCCCCTCCCCTTCCCCTTCCCCCTCACCTTCCCGTCCCCTTCCCCTTCCCCCTCACCTACCTCCCCCTCCCCTTCCCCTTCCCCCTCACCTCCCCGTCCCCTTCCCTTCCCTCTCCCTCCCCCCTTCCCTTCCCCTCACCTCCCCCCTCCTCCCCAATTCTTGTACCCCCTATCGTTATGAACACATCGCTATTTCTGTTTCGTTATTATACACCGCCTCGACTCGACCACAGTTATAAAGGATTTTTTTTTTATATTGGATATTATTTTATTCTGAATGTGAACTTAATTTGGCCTCAGGACGGACAGAAGCTTGTGGGTAATGATATGTATTTCTGTTTTGCATTTTTTTTATTTATTTTTATTTTTTTATTATCGTAGAGTTTATAGTGTATGGTTTTATTCGTCATATTTGTGTTTATGAAAAGGAAGATTTTTATGAGTGTTGCTGATATTGTGTTCTGTTCGTGGTTGTGTTCGTGGTTGTGTTGCTTCTGTTTCCTCGCATGATTGCATCCAGATATATCTACAAATTTTCCCAGCTGGTCTCCCTCAACCTAGATCCTGTTACCTTTTTTGGGAGGTCAACATGAGGCAAAGATTGAGGTCAAAGTTCATCCATCCAAAATGATTCGTCCTTTACATCAACTAAATTCCATAAGATTTTGGTCAAGACTGGTCATATGTTAAGGTCAGAGGTCACCAAATTCACCATAGTCAAGCATGCATAAATATGACCTGAGATTAACGAGTGAGTCCCAACATCTTACCCCAGTGACCACCTTACCCCAGTGACCACCTTACCCCAGTGACCACCTTACTCCTCGCCATAGGCTTAACTAAGGTTCTTGTGGTGGTATTTCAGACAGGCCCCCGGGAGTCGCTGCAGGTGGGGCCTCTGGTGGGCGTGGCGGGACGACCTCTATACCGGGAGTCGCCAAGCCCTCTCCACCTCCTGCATGATCAGAGCTTCGTCTAGGGCGTGGTAGGCGTGGTTCAACCTCCTACGCCCTCTACCACGCCTCCAGCTGAGATGTAGTTCTCTGCCCACTTCCCGCTTGATGAGGACTGCGTTACAAGACGTTTGCTCCAGCTTCCCGCGCTCTCTACCACGCCCACGTCCACAGCGAGACTATTGTGTAGGCGTGTATGCACTACCCCCATCTCGACGCCCACCTACACACCGCACGCTACGAGGGTTTTTTTTTCCCCTTTTTTAAGGAGACTAAAGATGCCTCCTCGGTGCTGAGCGTCTGTATTACTGGAACAATGGAACACAGGACAGCTTGATTTGCCCCGGAATACACACAAAGAGCGACACTACAGGCAGAAGGGGAATGAACTATAGCCTGGATTATAGTCTCCATTAGCATCTCTTTATGGAGGGAAGGTAAATGCCAGGCACTGCTGTATACCCGTGCTGACGCAGCGTTCGTGGGTGGCGTCTCAGCCTGGCGGTTGAAAGGGCACCAAGAGAAGCATTGATCACAAAATGATTAATGTTAAAAGTGTACCGGGAACAGGAACACTTAATCATGTTGTCAAACGATACGAACCAGTCAAACCTAACCTAAGCTGAATTAACCTAACCTAAACTACATTAACGTTGGATTACATTAGGTTAAATTGGAATAGATCAGGTTTGGTTAGGTTGGATTAGGTTGAGTTAGGGTGGATTAGGTTAGGTTAGATTGAGTTAGGTTAGGTTGGGTTGGGTTAGTTTGTGGTGAGTCTTGTTGTGTTGCAGAGTCAAGTCTTGACTAACTGAACCACATTAACGTTTGTTAGTCCAATTTATACTGAGCCAACCACGCTAATGAACCCTGACCAATGGAGCTCCACTTGATTAACTTTTATATACATTTGGCTGTAAAATCTCTCTCTCTCTCTCTCTCTCTCTCTCTCTCTCTCTCTCTCTCTCTCTCTCTCTCTCTCTCTCTCTCTCTCTCTCTCTCTCTCTCTCTCTCTCTCTCTCTCTCTCTCTCTCTCTCTCTCTCTCTCTCTCTCTCTCTCTCTCTCTCTACAGTTTGCTCCTGTATGGTGCAAATTAATAGTGGAACTGATTCTTATTATTATTCTGAAAATAAGAAATAGATAATATATATTGGCGTGGCATTCTAGTTACCATGGTAACTGTGCATTCGAGTTTGAATGAATTCTCTCATTCGAGTTGAACAATTATTTTGTTGTATGTGATACAGAATATATATATATATATATATATATATGTATGTATGTATGTATGCAGTGATAGAAACAACTATTATCTTGGCTAGTGATGTCCTCAGACCATCCCTGATACAGACGGTCAAGTTGAACATTAGTGATGTGTTTTTCCTGGATTGTGAATGACACTTTTGTTTACCAGAGAGTGACCAGCTGGTGATGCCGCCATGGTGAAATGTTTAGTATTTTATTTTAGTTGTAAGACTCACAAGACCTGCCTCTGAGTGAGGTGGTGTAGCAACTAACTCTGCTGGTGACGAGTTCTTGTAGGAAATATTGGTGAGTTTTATCATGTGAGGTCCCGCGGCTGAGTGGAAACAACGCTCTCCTGTCTTAATGATCGCTGGTTTGCTCCCCGGGGCACCCCCAGTCCACCCAGTTGTGAATAGGTACCAAACTTTACAGTTGGAAAGTGAAGGCGGTAGAGTGCAGTGCCGGCCACATTGTCTCCTTGTGTACCAAAGGCTTAGTATACAGTGTGCTGTATCCACACTGCCCCTAACGTGGGTCCCACTTCCATGTTAAAAGAAATGTGTGGTAGGAGTGCCCATGATGGTGCCCACCTGCCCAAGTGCTCACTAGATGAATATTTATCCTCATCAATGTTTTTTTAAGTGTTATTATGAATGTTCTGGAACACGTGAGAAAATATATACAGTACAGTATATGTTGACCTTGATGGCCGCCATCAACACCACTATTTGTATTTGTACTTTAAGAATAAGACAGATAATTTATTCACTGTAACTTTGATAAAAAAAGATATATTTGTGTTAGATGTGTATTATATATATATATATATATATATATATATATATATATATATATATATATATATATTATATATATATATATATATATAAATAATATTATTTGGGATGTTAATACATAATTTGAAACACGATGCAGAGGAGAGTCACAGTGATGAGGATTTGAGTGATAATACTCTTGGGAGTCTTAACGATCATTATGGTGTGAGTGTCTGTTGGTGAGCGGCTCCCGTACACTAGTGTTGAGGCAGGGAACACATCACCTCACCAGCAGTCACTCACACTCCATGGGTAGTGACGGTTGCTGAGGACGCCATAGTGTGGGGTAACGCTTAGTGAACTGAAAATGACAACTTTATTATGTTGGAAAATGTACCACGAACAGGACTGCCCCCCGCCCCCCCCCAAAAAAAACCCCCAAATATTATATATATGGTTATGGTTAGTTTGTCCTGTTCTTAATATTGTTTTAACTGTTTTTATATTGGAGACGAGAACAGCCAAGCCACACCCATTTGCTCAAGGATTCTCAAAGGCTGTCATTTTTTTTTCTAATAACCATTAAGTTTCGACCCAAAGATGATATTCATATTTTCCCTTCATTATTATTATCATTATTATTATTATTGATATTATTATTATTATTATCATTATTATTATTATTATTATTATTATTATTTTTATTTTTATTATTATTATTTGTATTATTATTATTATTATTTTTATTATTATTATTTGTATTATTATTATTATCAAGAGTCTCACGTCCAATAACTAGCTACTTTTCTATATATTTTGTATTATTTAGGTCCTGATTCGTTTTTGATGAGAGAGAGAGAGAGAGAGAGAGAGAGAGAGAGAGAGAGAGAGAGAGAGAGAGAGAGACCTGCCAAATTAAGTCTACGGAGTTTGCTACCCACGTTTCACTATGTAATACAGTACTCTATTATTATTATTATTATTATTATTATTATTATTATTATTATTATTATTATTATTGTTATTATTATTATTATTATTATTATTATTATTATTATTATTATTATTATTGTTATTATTATTATTGTTATTATTATTATTATTATTATTATTATCATTATTATTATTATTATTATTATTATTATTATTATTATTATTATTATTATTATTATTGTTATCATTATCTCAACAGTGGATTAATTCTGACCCTCCGTTAACATTACGTCACATATAAACGTGAAGGGTAAGGAGGCGTGAGGAAAGGTTTATACCCCGTGTACCAGTGTCGGTCTGTGTGTTTGTATATCTGTCACTTTTTGTAAATTCCTATATGTATATTTTGTATAATAAAATGATAGTATTTGATGCCTCGGTGTCTTGTGCTCTTCCCTGTGTTGATAACTGTGGTTTTTAATAACAATAACAACAACAACAACAAGGTCAGAGTGACGCCATGAGGTCATTATATTCTCGTAAATATAAAATAAAAACTACTACTACTACTACTACTACTACTACTACTACTACTACTACTACTACTACTACTACTACTACTACTACTACTACTACTACTACTACTACTACTACTACTACTACTACTACTACTACTACTACTACTACTACCATGACTACTAACCACCACCACCACCACCTTCGTCAGCTAGTTTCAATAACCTGTACGCTTCACTGCTCCCAAATTACCAATTAGATTTAACAAATAGGAAAAGAGCTGATGGAAAATATAAGCTGCACGTAATTAAAAAGACTGGTGACAAAAAAGGATTAATGGGTGAGATCCTGTTGTTATGTTCACCTGTTGTTGTGTAGTAGTAGTAGTTAGTAGAGTAGTTAGTAGTAGTAGTAGTTAGTGGTAGTAGTAGTAGTAGTATAAGGTCAACGTGAAGGAGCCATTAAACTTAGGTTAAGTTAGATTAAGTTGACTTAGAATGACTGATATTAGCAGGAATTTTTAGATTAGACTAGGTTAGGTTAGGCTTACGTTAGGTTAGTTTAGGTTAGGTTAGGTTACGTTAGGTTAGCTTAAATAACTAGGGGAAGAGGGGAGGGGATTAGGGGTTGAGTAGAAGGGGGAGGGGTGGATAGAGTAGGAGGGGGAGGGAAGGATAGAGGAGGGGGAGGTAGGATGAGGGGAGGCTGGTGGGGGAGGGGGATTCTATATTCTGGGTCTGGACGAGAGAAGTATTGCAGTATTTATGACCCATTTTTACGTATATCGAGCAGCACGATTTCGGGAAAGCTTAGATAAATAATAAATATTTATCCATTAATGTGAGTTGATTTAGAGAACGAGAGAAATATTTATAGTTTAAGAATTTTTTTGGTTTGGATCGACGTTAAATCAAGAGAGGTTTGTCAGGGTGGAGCGACTGTGTACACCTGTTTTGTTTTAATTATCGTCGTAAAAGGGTTAAGCTATTGTCGTTAAGGGGTTAAATTATTGTCGTTAAGGGGTTAAATTATTGTCGTTAAGGGGTTAAATCATCGTTGTCAAAGGGTTAAATCATTGTCGTCAAAGGGTTAAATCATTGTCGTCAAAGGGTTAAATCATCGTTGTCAAAGGGTTAAATCATCGTTGTCAAAGGGTTAGTATTTGTCGTCAAAGGGTTAAATCATCGTCGTCAAGGGTTAAATCATCGTCGTTAAAGGGTTAAATCATCGTTGTCAAAGGGTTAAATCATCGTCGTCAAAGGGTTAAATCATTTTCGTTAAGGGTTAAATCATCGTCGTCAAAGGGTTAAATCATCGTCGTCAAAGGGTTAAATCATTGTCGTTAAAGGGTTAAATCATCGTCGTCAAATAATTAAATCACTAATCTAATCTAACCAAACGCCATTAGATATCGTTAGGGTGGTTAATCTTCAGGTGATCATAAAATTCTAAATGTTTAATATCTCGTAAGTGAGTTTGTCTAGACACTGTTGAAAAAAAAAACACCATCGTGCACTGTGTTAGTAAATCCGGGTCCTGGACACTGTGGAGCCTCACGCCACTGAATATTTAACTCGAGGTAAGATACAAGACTGGCATATTGGTGGTGGGTCCTGTTTACGATTTTATTCTTCTCTCTCTCCTCTCTCTCTCTCTCTCTCCCCTCTCTCTCTCTTAATCACATTCCCTCTCTCATAACTCACCAGTAAGCGCCCCGAGGAACATTTTTCTCATGAAAGGCTTCATTATAATGGCGACTTCATTCCGAAATCAAAATTTATATCCAAATTTCTGGGAAAAATTTTCAGACTTTCATTACTGACGCAGCAGGTGGCATGTCCTGGGTGGGCGGGCACACGGGGTGAAAGAAGGTATTATGACGTCACGGGAGGTAGTGGCGGGCTTACACGGGGTGAAGGAAGGTATTATGATATCACATGAGGTAGTGGGCGGGGCTTACACAGGTAAAGGAAGGTATTATGGTGTCACAGGAGGTAGTGGGCGGGGCTTACACAGGTAAAGGAAGGTATTATGGTGTCACAGGAGGTAGTGGGCGGGGCTTACACAGGTAAAGGAAGGTATTATGGTGTCACAGGAGGTAGTGGGCGGGGCTTACACGGACTGAAGGAAGGTATTATGACGTCACGGGAAACGTAAAGGTATTCATTATGACGTCACAGTAATTGGCGGTAATAAAACCGTATTCTATGACGTCACAGTAGATAGAGGAACCTTACTATGACGTCACAATGTTGGTAATGGCGTCAAGAAACATAGACTCCACAAAGGTATCATCTAATAAGTATAAATGCCATAATACGGTGATAATGAGGCATCAGACAGGTAACCTCTACTGTATTACAGGTGAGTGAGTGGTAACAGCTCCTCCAGGGACGGTAACACGACACTACAGGTATGTTTTGTTGACTTCATTTGTGGGTCACCTGAAGATTAACACCCCTAGTTTATTTCACCTGATTAACCTAACCTAATCTAATTTAATCTAGCGC